AGGGTTTAGGGTTTAGGGTAGATGCTGCAAGTAGGAGGTCCAGAGATTGAGACTTCAGCCCTAAACCCTAAACCCTAAACCCTAAACCCTAAACCCTAAACCAACAGCCTAATGTAGGGCCTCAATAACATAAAGAATAGGGCCAAGGAGCCCCCCCCAAAATAGTATAGGTAGTTATTTCGGCCCCTGGAGTAAGCCCAAGCCTGCAAAGCCTTAAAGTACGACCTCGCGCCTTAGACCACACAACGCACCACCTCCGCATACCAAATACTACGCCCTGAGCCACGGCCGACAGCTCCCTAGTCCTTGCTTAGATCCCTATGATAATCCCTTCAGGTCGTTCCTAGTAGTGCCCTAAACCCTAAACCCTAAACCCAGTCAGAACATCCGAAATCCTAAGTCCCTGAATCCCCACACCTTTCAGATTTCATCACAAGACCTCAAACCCTAAACCGTAAACCCTAAATCCAATGTCCCTAAACCCCAAATCCCTAAACCCTAAATCCCTAAGCCCGAAACTCCTAAAACCCTAAACCCTACAATCCGAAACCCCAAAACCCTAAACCCTAAACCCTAAACCCCGCAATCCGGAACCCTAAACCCTAAACCCTAAACCCGAAACCCTAACCTAACCACCAGAGCCTGCTTCGACAGGTCAGTCGGAGTAGCCGACTTGGCCAAATCCCTTCGCAATCAAGGTTTGAGTGTAGGGTTTAGGGGTTAGGGTTTAGGGGTTTAGGGTTAAGGGTTAATGGTTTAGGATTGCAGGGTTTCGGGTTTAGGGGTTTAGGGGTTTAGGGGTTTAGGGTTTAGGGTTTAGGGTTTAGCTTATTGTCAAGGTTGAAATCCGTTTAGGGCAGAGTTCAAGGCTTGACTTTGGCTTTAGGCCGTCAACGCTTGGGGTTGTAGGGTTGATTTAGCTTAAGGTTCAGGGCTTGAGGCTGTTGAGTTAAGAGTTCGGCTTCCTTTTATCGGTTTAGGGCTTAATTTAGGCTTTAGGGTTTAGGGGTTTACGGTCTCGGGGTTTAGGGTTTAGGGTTTAATTTCGGGTTTAGAGTTTAGGTCTACAGGTTTTACAGTGCATCCTAGCCCTTGATCAGGCATCCCCTGCAGGCCGGGTTGGTAGGACTGAGTCGTGATGGGGAACTACAGCCGATTGTTCTCTTGGGTTCCAGGTTCCGAACATGTGTGGTGCCTGTAGGCTTGTCGTGATCTCGGTGCTGAAAGCCCGAAACAGCCTTTGCTTACTGAAATGCTTGAGTCGTCGGCATCTGTATAAATTGGTGATTTAAAGTATCCTCTCTGCCGGAGGGCAGTTTTCATTTCCCAAATCGAAACTATAGTGGTGCAAGTTGAGCAGAAGTCCACCTTCCGTGAATGAATCTTGCTGCATGCCCAAGCAATGAGGCAAATGGCGCACCGCAGGTACTTCTGCCACATGAACCCCTGTCTAACACCCCCAAACCCTAAGCCCTAAGCCCGAAACCCTAAACCCCTAAACCCTAAACCCAAAAAACCCTATAAACACCTGAAGCCGAGTTCCCAAAGTCGTGAAGCTCAGAGGCCATAAGGCAAACTTCTGAAATCCCCAACTCACATTCCCCAATCCCTCTGTCGCTTACCTCCAGGAGTTTAGGGTTGAGGATACCCAGGGTTTAAGGGCCCTAAACCCCAAACCCCAAACCCCAAACCCTAAACCCTAAAAGTTTAGGGTATAGGGTACCCAGGGAGCCGACTACATCTTAACTAAGCACTATGCCAGAAAGAACAGGCGCCCTGCAGGCATTGACTGATCCGCGTATCATGATCCTAGGCCCAAAACCCCGAATGTCCTAATGACCCTACACCCTCCACCCCTCCCTAATCCCTAAACCCTAAACCCTAAGCCCTAAACCCTAAACCCTAAACCCTATAAAGCCTAAGAGGGTAGATTGAGGCTCGCTGGCGACCGCTTTGCCGCCAGGGCTCTTCGAAGGCCCATCGCCACTGATCTGCTTGAATGTGATCCCTCCTTGCTTTTTTGTGTTGAGGGTTTAGGCTTTAGGGTGCAAGTGTTGCTTTCTAGCTTGAGCTTGAGTGTGCGGTTTGTACCTTCGGGTTTAGGATCTACCCTAAACCCCAAACGCCTCAACCCTAAACCCAAACCCCTAAACCGCAAACCCTAAACCCCTAAACTCTAAACCCAAACCTTAAGGTTAAGACCTTTAGGATGTGGCAGAGGTCTTGGCCTGGGGGGCTTACCGACAGACGAAAAGGACTCATAAAAAGAGCTAAAACAAAAACCTTTTCGTTTTAGATCGAAACATGTTGCTCTTTGTAATATTTTTGCTCTTTTAAAACATGTTTTGCTCTTTGTAAGGCTTTCGGGCCCAAAGGCCATGTCATATAAGGCTTTTGGGCTGTGTTGAGCCTCAGGGATAGAGTTTAGTGTAGGGGTTTCGGGTTTTGGCGCCTGTTGGGGGGTTTGAGGGCTTTGGGATTGTGTGGTTTAGGTTTCAAGACAACAGGGATTTTGAGGTGCGCCGTCATCGTCCTCGTCGTCGTAGCAGTAGCTGTAGCAGTAGCAGTAGGAGTATATAATAGCAGCGTGAGCACTGGTGGCAGTGGCAGCATCAGCAGTGGCAGCGAACATCCGCAAAACCCTCAATCCTAAACCTCCACACTGTCAACCTCACAGCCTAAAACCCACATAAGTGCTCATGAAACCCTAAACCCTAATCAAACCCTAGACCCTAAAACCCTAAACCCCTAAACCCCTAAACCCTAAACCCTAGACCCTAAAACTCTAAAACCCTAAAACCCTAAACCCCTAAACCCCAAACCCTAAACCCTAAAAAGGCAGCCAAAGCGCGAAGCGGAATCCAGGTATCGTTTGCTGTCTGCACGCAGATGAACCCAGAGAGCTCGGCATCCGCAGGCGTGAAACTGCGATGGGCGACCTCGGCATCTCTGGGGTTCTCTGAAGTCTTGCATGCTTTGGGTTGAGGGTTTGGGGTTTAGGGTTTAGGGTTTAGGGTTTAGGGTCTAGGGTCTAGGGTTTAGGCTGTGGGGTTTAGGGTTTAGGGTTTGGGGTTTTGGGGGTTGGGGTTTGGGATCTAGGGTTTAGGGTTTAGGGTCTAGGGTTTACGGGTTTGTAAGGGTGATATGATAAGGAAGGCTTGCTTGCTACCCCACCCCCTCCAAACGACTGTCTGCATAACGACCTCATGAACTCTGAACCCATGCACCGAAGGCCTAAATCCTAAACTCGATGTGGATACCAGGACCCACAAAGTTTAGGGTTTAGGGTTTAGGGTTTAGGGGTTTAGGGTTTAGGGTTTAGGGTTTAGGAAACCCTGAAACATGCACATTGAAGCCTGGACCTTTTTCCCGAAAGCGTTTAAGTTGAGGTTCCTGGCACAAACTGACAGTGAAGCCATGGACAAGCAGAGAGGAGGTTGCAAAGTTTCGGAGTTTCGGGGTAGGTAAAGCAAAGATTGCGTAGGGCCGTGTTGCCTTACTCTACGAGGAGCTACCTGCCGCATGCTCGAAAGGAGCCCTGGTGCAAAACAGTAGACCATTATGCCCGTAGTTGTTGTGTTATGTAGTTGGGCCGCTATTTCAGAATCCTCACGTAGCGACATAGTGCCACTGAAAAGACTCCCGAATCTGCCTGCAGAGTTTATGGCCTGTGTTTAAAGCAGAACAAGTTAGAGGAAACTACAGGTGGGGAGTTTAGGGTCTATAGGGCTTCTATAAGGCTTCCATAAGGTATATAGACTTTCTATAAGGCTCCTATAACGGTAACTACCCACGTGAAAAATGTCCTAGAACAAGGTCACGAGAATCCCACACGAAAGGTCTTGTTGACCCTCGGATGGTCGCTTAGGGTTTAGGGTTTAGGGCTTAGGGCCTGGTGCAGAGGTTTACTGAAGCGTTCCCACTGCCCACTAGGCCTCAGTACAAGCAGCAACTGGAGCTATTCCCCCACCACTACTTGGAGGATCATGCGACTTTAGTAAGCTTTCGTACCTTAACTTGGGATTGTAAGAAATTACGAATCTAGTTACCCTGGTAATTAATTATTTAAGCCTCTATATTACCATCGAAGGGACTGAAGACTTGATGGTTGCTCTTTGAGGAGAGTGCGCTGACGGCTCGGGGTGTTGTCGTACATAGCTTTATCTTAGGGGCTGAGTATGGTAACGGTGTCGCTTCCGACCCC